CGATTGCTTAATTTCAAATTCCTAGCCAAATATATCTTCTTTCATCTTTTTCTTTAATTCGATTTTATTCCGGCATTGTAAATCAGTTAGTGGACTAAGATGTTTTAGAATAATTGATGTGTTACAATTTTCAACAGCAGTGGCGTATCCAGGGGGGGTTAGGGGGTTATAACCCCCCCCCCCCCCGAAAATGTTTAGTGTATGTATATTGTTTATTGATTATAATAAAAACACACAAAATTCAAAAAAAAATTAATGTTCCATTTTTTATAACCCCCCCCAAAAAAAAAAAAATTCTGGATACGCCACTGTTCAACAGTATAAACCAAAAAAAAAAAAATAATGAATGTTTAAAACAGAGGTTAAAACAAATTAACAACATAAATTAAAATATATTATTTTAATATCACTCTATTTATGTATGAAATAGAAGCCCATGATAAATTAAATTATTTTATTATTTTACGATTTCAACAGAAGAATGAACTAGAATACATGGAGATTATAGGCAATCTAATAAATGGCCTTGGAACTTCAGTAAAAATATTTTTTAACTACTCAAATAATTAATTTACGAAAGAACTACTAGCTTTTAAAACAAATCTCATACCACGGTACATTCCAAAACGGGTAAACTGTTCACCTACACGACCAATTTTGACAACATTTCATATGCTTATGTAAAATAGACACCCACCAGTTATATTTTACACTGCCCAAAACATAAAAGTATTAAAACTTAGGAGGTTAATTATATTCAAATTAATGTTAAGACAATACAATTTTATTCTAACACAAAAAGATAATAATCTTTAAAAATTGTTATGAAAGTATTATACATAATATTAGTTGATTATATTAATTCTAATGTAAGTAACAATATTTAAAAAAATTTGTATATAAATTGGTTTCTTTATGTAAATTTACTCAATACAACTGAATATTTTTTATTTATTTATATATTTGTTATTTAAGTTTTTTTAACATATAGCATGTTATTACAAGTTTAGTATCATATATATATTAATATTATTATAATAATTAATCATTTTTTAGATTTATCAGATGTACATAAATCAAAAACGAAAAATTCATATTATTATAATTTAAATATTATTTATCGCTGAATTATATTCGTATGTAAATCTTAAAATATAAATAAATCACGGAAAACATGGTACTTTTCGCAAATATAATAACATATTAAAATTAAACCCCACTGTCTAAATAATAAATACCTATTGTAAATTATTATTATTTTTTTTTTTTTTTTTTTAATTAAATGTTATTTATAAATAAAATTACCAAATTAAATAGTTTTGTAATAATTAAAAACCAACATCTTAATTTAATAATAATGACAATACTTTAAAGAATCAATTCTATTATAATATTAACTCATAAAAATAAAGACCTAATTATCATTGATAATTATCTCGTGTTTTTATTAATCATAGAAAGATAAATTTGATAAGCAAATCGACAATGAGATGTGACTATATCACAGCAATATTATTGCAAATTCAGTCATGCCCCTTTTACTCTTGCATAAATAACTACCTACTATATAGAATAAACACATAAGATGTATTATAAATGTATTATGCATAACGATGTATATATGTAGGTTATGCATACAATTACTAACCCATCATTATATAATATAACATTTTATCTACTGCTAATAATTCAATTTAAAATATAAAATTTATTTTTAAATTACTAATTACAACGATTCCATGAAATGAAAACACGCTATATTTTATTAACAATAAATACAAACAAAGCGGTTTCATATGTCCTATAAGTATATAAATAATTATCAGTAAATAACTTCAAGCCTTAGCTATAATGTGCGAACAAAGACAAAAAAAAAAAAAAAAAAAAACTTAAGGCCTATGAAGTACATGTACCTATGATTTTATATAACATTTAATTAATTTTTGCAGCTTCCTTCCTCATAAAAAAATAAATACTTCGATACAGCAAGATTTCCAAATATGAATATACAATTTTTTTCGCACATTAATATTATCTCAATCATCTCAATCAAAGAACTTAAAATAAGTTCTAAGGATGACATAAAACTTGTTTCTTTTAAGAAAGTTCATTTCACAGCAGAGATTAAGCTATAAAAAGTTAAACGCAGCCATACAAGTGGGTGTAAAATATAAACTTAGTAATTCAAATTGATGATACATAATAATTAACTTTTTTCATATGTATTTAATTCATAAAATATATTATTGAAATTAAGTAATAAAAAATATCAAAAAACTCCCACATTCCCAATAGACTTAAGAGCAAAGGATATGATCTTAAAAACAAACATCTAAACTTAACAAATTTTTTTTCCCTTTTTCACCAAAAATTATAAAAATTCCCAGAAGATAAAAATATTTATTTTGTTTTTGGTGGTATATAATTGTTAACATTAATTACAAACCAAAGGTTATTTGATTCAAAACAATTCTTATACTAAAAAATTAAGGCAAATAAAAAAAGTACACATGAGAAACACCAAGATACTAAAATATATATAATATAATAATTTTTACACAGATATCTAAATAATATTTCGTCATTGTACAGAAATTTGAAATTCAAAATGGATAGGTAATTATGAGGGTAAAGAAATTAACAAAAGGAATTAACTGAAAAAATATCAATACAAAATACTGAGTATTAGTTTTAATGGTACATTTCTGTTTTTTTTTTTTAACAAATTTATAAAACAATTTTAAATTCCTTTTTAGTATAAAAATTAATAAGAATTATCCTTATAAATCATTAATCGATACGATAATAATATTTTTTATTTATTTTCAGTACTTAAAGTACCTAAAGAAAATAGTTTTTAGTTATTATTATTTTAATTTGAAGGTTTAACCTGAGACAGCCTAATTTTTAAAAATGTGTCATAAATTATCAACAAAATGATTAATTAGTATTACTATATAAAGATATTATCTTTACAAAGATGATTCATAAAATCTAACCAAAACAATAACATACATTAATCATGTTTATAACATCATATCATATCAAATCAAACAACAATATTGTATAGTTAAATACTAAGACACTAGGTATTTGACAAACATTTAAATTATCTAAATATATAATTATATAGTAAATAATAAAATGTAAATCTAAAAACAATTCTAAGAATTATTGGATAAGACATAAAAGCTGCTATATGATATGCTAAAATACAATGAAAATAATCAATAACATTCATAGGACATCTGAAAAAACTACTAAATTATAGAGCTGGCAACATCCTACGAAAATGATAATAACAAAAATTATTATAAATATACCAATATTCACAGTGTAATCGGAATCGCTGATATAACTATAACCATAAATATTAATTGCATCTTCAAAACATTTAAGAAAATTACCTATTAGTCAAAAATTAATAAAATTTATAAAGTACTTTTAAAATATCAAACTACATTTTTTAATAAAAATTATTCAAAATAGGTTAAATAGGTATATATAACCTACAGAATAGTGTATAATTTTTTTCATTTACCATAAATTTACTAATTTTTTATACAACAGGTATAACTTAAAATAAAAAATGTGTGATAAACCATCAACTATCACTAAATTTGAGTATAATATAATTATGATAATACAAATAAGTTTTCATAAATGGACTACATTTTACAAGTAGTAATTGTAATTAAAATAGATACCTAAAACAATTTAATGTGATTTATATATTTTAATTAGATCTAATTATTACTTATATTGTATAATGTCACTTTTTATTAATAATTATATTTTAAAAACTATTTCAGAGTTTAAGTTTAACATAAAACCTACATATTGTGCATTAAAATATATAAACATAAATGAAATATTTGTCTACACATTTATTAATGTAATTAAATAATATGATCATATTTAAACAAAATTACATTATTATTACAATATTTATCTCCCTGTTATATTTAACTATCAAAAATCTTTATCGATTAGCGCCTATTTTTTAATGAACCACGACACAAAGTGTGTAGGCCGAAACTGGAAGTGTGCACTATGGATTCAAAAAATGTGTATCTACTAAATACTAATAAATATGACTACTATGAAGGTGTTTTTCAAGAAGCCAGTTTAAGCAAGAAAGCCAATGAGGACTCAAATATAACTAATACATTTTTGAATTATTATTCTACATTAAAATAAAAAAATTTTAAATTGTTTTCAGATTTATACCAGACAAAAGTATATTTTTTGTTTAAAAAATAATAACAGATTAATATTTAACCAATTATAATGTGTAATTTGATTAATAAAAATAACTTTTACTAAAAATTATTACTCTGACATTCTACTAAAAATTATAATCATATGGAAGGGGTAGAGGAGGGTAATGTATCATATCATTATGAATGTGTAAAAAAATGGGTAGGTAGCATGAATTTTTATGAAAAATAGGGGTTGTTATCAATACCCATCAGTAAAGCAATACAGTTAAGACAATGAAATTATTATCGAAAAGACACCTGGTACCCATCTAGCAGATACAACTTTAACCAAAACAATTTTGCAGTTACATTTAAATGCAGTTTAAAAATTGTTTAGTAGATCAAATATATATATATGAATACTACAGTGCATTTTCTGTTCAAAAGGAGTGTTTTAAAATATTAAAATCCAATAAATTAAGTTTAGAAATTCAAAAAACCTCTACAGAGTAAGACACAAACAGTTAACCCATGTTAACTGGGGGGAGAAACTTTAATAAAATGAATGAGAATACAACAAGTCAGTAACTATGTAGATTTGTACTACCTATTATGAACGAGGGGATTAAAATACACAGCAACAACCCAAGACAAACTGTAAGCTGGAAAGAATGAATACCCGTCCCAGATCAGACACCAATCCGTTAGTTCACCGTCCGGAATTCAATTGGCATCGGACACAGAGTACCAGCAAACGCAATATGTAGTAATTTTGATGATCCTGTAAAACGAACTTACAGTTTATCACGGTTGCTCTTCAAACTGTTGCACGAATGTTGTTCAACGATAGGTCGTTGGGTGTCCGCCGCATTATCACTTGGTGTGCACGACGCATTACGGTGCCGCGACCGGAGCACCTAAACGCGAGGCGAAAACGGTCGTGTTGTCAAAAATAACATACATAGAAAACAGCACGTCGTTCAAAAATTACGGAACATCGCGAGCTACTAACACAACGTAGTTCTATCAACATCTAATCACTATAGTACGCGCACTACACCACCGAACGCACAGACATCAACCCGAATCAATGGCATCCCGTCGGCCAGGAGCAGCTGCTGCAGCTAGCGATGAGCACTATCGATTAGTTACTATCGAAATAACCGATAGTTTGGTATAATCGAACTATTCGAAAGTTTTTTAATTATTGATAGTACCCGAACTATTTGATAGTCTCGATCATAAGCGTGCGCAGACATTATTGACAGAGTAGTCATAAATAACACATTAACATTTAATATTAACAACAAATTTGGATAGAGTAATTTCTTTAACTTGATAATTATATTTTTCCAATATTCTTATACATGTATTTACCGTTTACGAATGTTTCGAAGTGGTTGAACATAATATGGTTATTTATTATTGTGATAATAATGAATAATTTGGTGAGCGAGGGAAGATTCACAGAGTAGTCAAGTGTCTGGCCTCTCTACCCCGTGCGCACGCTTATATGTCTCATTGTACCGAAATATTCTGTTTTTGAGATAGCTGATGAATAGTTTTTTTTCAAGATACCTATAGTAAACTTAGTGAAGAAGTCTTCAATCATAATTTTCTTTTAACATTTTAAATTTTCAATAAAAAATGTTTAAAATTTAAAATAAGGTTCTTCATAAGTTGATCTTCGTTAGTAAAAATGTCAACAGTTTTTATGGTATTTATAGGTATTTTAATTTTAAACAAAATCAAAACTATTTAGTAATTTCATTAGAATAAAAACTATTCGAATGTTTTTTTGATAAGAAAATACTCGTTAGTATCGATAATTATTCAAACAAATTATTCGATAGTTTGTAACTTTTGTAGTCTTATCTTTTATCTATAAAAAATATATCAAATACTGCTCAATAGTAGAAACTGTGCCCATCACTGGCGTTGACCGACCGAACATGCCGCCATCTCACCGCGTGAATCCGTACTCGACAGCGGATGCAGTGTGACCGACCACTGCGAACCATCCACCGAACTGTGAAAGTTTCAATGATAATCTTATAATTTATAAATACCTATACATATAAACGAATGGATCTTCACAGGAAAAATTACAAATTATTCCAATATGGCGATACTACACTATTATCATAAACTATATTGCTTATCACAAAATAATTTTGAATTTAGTATAATAATAGTTAAAATAAAATAGGTATATAAAAATTCACTTTCTGATCCAATAATTTTTAAAGCTCCCTTTCCCTAATCATGCATGTATATAATTTTGTTAAAAAATAAATAAATACATTTATTATGTAATAAGTTTATTTACTGTGTTTGAAGATCTTAGAACATCTGAACGATGACAAACATAATATAAATATTCTACAATATTATTTTGTTTTTTTGATGTTCTACGTATATACAGACATTTCTTTTGATTTTCAGTATCTGTTTTCCACTTAAAAAAAATTCTAAACAACATTTTTATAAATACATTTTTATTTATTCTTTTGCTAACATTATTTTTATTATTTATTTTTTTTTTTTTATTACCTTCCATAGTATTAAAATTAAATGACACAATTTGAATATTCATACTGTGATCCAATGAAAAATGTTTGGAAAATGCTTTCAATGTTTTAAATGATATTTCACAATTTTCATAAGAACATTTTATATTGCCTAATTGATTACCGGCATGTACATTTATGTCTATAATTATTTTCATTTTTGAATTAAAAATTTCACCACATTCATTACAAGCCAGGGGCGTCATTTGGGGGAGGGGCAGACTATGACAAATGTCCCACTCTAAGAAATTTTAAAAAGTCGGCCATTCTTTGTCCGATAATCAAATACTAAAATCATTAGGTAGTAAATTTTTATTTACTATTTTGTACTCAGAAATCAGATATTATTCTCTTTTAAATACCCGTTTTCGGTTTATTAAAAGTTAGGAAACACTGGCTTCTCCCCGGTGTATGACAATCGTTATTACGCGAACCTTATAAACTTTAATTTTGGTATATTATATATTTCTATATATGTGATCTTTATAAAACAGTTTTTGTGATATCAATACCATAAAAGTTAAGTTCATAATCTATAAAAAACCATTAAAATCGTTCCTATTCACCTCAATCTACTATACATTATATTTGAGATACAATTTTATGTTTTTATAAATAAGTACTGTATAGTATTAAAAATACAAATAATAAAATTATAAGTATTTATTTAATTAGATTTATATTATTATTCCATTAAACCTATTGAGAAGTATCTTACAGCCTATAGGATAAGTAAATAAATTAATGTTTTACTATCTTCAATTTTATTATTTAACTGGGTAAAATGAAACGTTTCATGTTCTTTGTTTATCATCATGACTAGGGCAGAGGACTTGTAGCTCTAAAAAAGCTCTAAATATGTAAGCACTTATGCACTTAAAAACCCCATAATATGCACTTAAAATTTTTTTTAGTCTTTTTGTTTAAATTAATAAATTAAATATTGTTTAAAATAAGTCAAAACAATTATATAATTTAAATATATTATATACTATAGCCAAATAAACAGAATACATTTTAATTTATTTTCTTAATTTTCTGCTTCTTCTGACACTAAAAAAAAATAATAACTATGGTTTAGTAAAATTAATTTAAGCCAATATATATTTAATTGACGTTAATAATACTTTTACCTTGAAAATTACATTGAAAGGTCAAATGTTTTTTTAAATTTTCAAACTGAAAAGATGGTTTATTGTCTGCCAAAAGAACTTTGAACATTGAAAATGACCTTTCAACATCAACATAGTTAACTGGAGCGTATTTAAAGTATACCAAATCGTTTATGCTTAAATTTTCGGGTGTTCGTCCATTGAAGTTTCTTCGCTATTTAAAATGTTTGATATTCTAATTAAACTTTGATATCCAATATTTTTTTTCAGAACATCATTCATCTTTTCTTTAGGAATTTTTCCAATTGGACCAGGGACTTGACTCAATTTCAAACTAACATTTTGTATTGCATCGATTACATCACTAAGTAAAATATTTTTTATTTCAAGACTGGTAATTTTATCAGTTAAAAATCCATAATGTGATTTGATAAATACTAAATTTGTCGCAAGGCTTGCTTCAGAAAAATAATTTTGTGAATTTTCAATAGAAATAGCGTCTTCCTTATCCAAAGAGTCGACAATAGATTTAATAACTTCGAGGTGTTATTACATTATATTATAATTACTTATTATTAACTTCACATTAATAAACAGCGGCTCTTATCCACGTCCCCATCTTGTTATAATAGGATCTGGCGGTAGTGGAATATTGGGCGCTTTGTCTTTAAATATTGCAACACGATAAGGCACCTTCAAAAATACTTTTTTGACATTTGCAATGATTTTATCGACGTTATAGTAATTTTCTCGAATTTTTTCAGCAATAAGATGAAACCCGTGCACAATACAAGTAACATGAATAACTTTAGAATAGAATATTTTTATCGATTCCCTCGGATTTCACCATATAAGGCGCCGCAATACTTAAGAACAATAAGACGTCGTCGTAAAGCACTTCTTCTGGCCACAATAGATGCATTGAATTATCAAATAACTTCACAATAGTCGAATGATTAGCTTTGGTCAGTATTTAGGAATTCAATAAAAATGTTTGGCCTGGACCATCGATTTCATGAGTACCGATTACTATATGTCGACCTAATGAGTTGATGGTCTCATCTATTGATACGCAGATCTTCTTACCAGTAATAGTATTTCTAATTTTATTCATAGTTTCAGAATAAATTTCATCGACATAGCCTTTGCGTAATGTACTAATGACCGGAATTGGTTTCCCGTATATTTTTCCAAAAACAGTTTGAATTGAACGTTACCTAGCTTATTAAGAGGTATGCTGGTTGATAGCATTACAAAACATAAGTCTTTATTGAAAGATGATTTTTTAGAATTACTCACCAATTGTTGTACTTTAACCAATTCAAGTACATTTTGGTTTTTTTCTTTACGTTTGATGGAATTTTTGTGTTTGTATTAATGTGTTGCGTAACATTAAACCGTTTTTCACTCCCTACTTTTACCTCACAATAATTACAGTACAGGACTCCGTCGGTCGAAAACGTATGGGCACCAAACTCAGATATAAAACATTTTTTAACCGACTACTTAAATGTTGTTTATTTTTCGGCATTTTATTACAAATTAAAATGTTCAAATAAATTTATAATATGGCTAATAATAAGTCAGCATTCTAACACGAATATAATTTCCGTAGAACTAACCGAGACTAAATACTAAAATATTGATTATTGTCGTGTCTAGAAACGTTTTATAAATAAATTCTAATCGAATAAAAGCCATGGTGTACACATGGTGATGCATAGAATTTATATAAGTATGATATAGCGTCGTTATCGCTTCTAGGAAAAATGAGTGCCCGCGGACAGTCACAGACCATATTATAAGACAAAAATTAAAAATAAATTTTTATCCAAACATTTTAATTGTATGTTTTCAAATAAAAATATTATTTTGGAAAAAATCGATTTAAGTTAAATAAGTCTCAAAAAGTATAAAATAGCGCATAAAGTGTAAAATATGCCCTAAAAACAAAAGGACTCAAAATATGCATTTATATGCAAAATGAAATTTCAAAGCTAGCTTTGTGAAAGCATGAAACGTATTTGTTTCGTACTCTACTACTTTTGTGATTATGCAAAACAAATATGCAAATGCTTACAGTCCTATGCTCTAATCATGACCATAGGCACAATTTGGGGGGCTTGGGTATGCTTAGCACCCCCAAATGTGTTTATGTTCATTTACATTTAAATACTCATAACTTATTATGTATAGAAAAACATAGTAGTTTTTAATTTTTTTTTTTTGTATAAATATATAAATTATTATACAATACGAAAATATTTCGCAATACGAAAAAAAATATATTTGCTATAGGGTAAAAGTTTCAAGTTTTTAGCCACATTACTTTTGGAATTATGACTACATAACTAAAATTTGAAATGTGAAAGTCTTATTTACAGCGTATTTTTACCATTTCAGGAAAGTTTTTTCCTCACGTCCAGAAAAACTATTAGGATTTAAAAAAATTACTTATCTAAAGTACCACCACATGCCAATTTAAAATCTAAAAAAGGTCTTAAAAAAACTTTCGTACCAGTATTTCTATCCGAAAAAGTGTTAAACAAATAAAATACAAACATCATTATAAAACCATAATATCCTTCGCTTCAGTCAGAATCTAATAGTGATCATTTAGGTAATAAAACATTTGTGGTTACAGACATTTAATTCGTAATACGCGCTATAAAAATATAAAATCAAAATGATCAATTTAAATTTAGAAATATTCATATATTTACCAAATATTTTAATAACTGTTGAATTGTACAGTTTGTGGGTGTTTATAACCATTAAGGAACATGAATAAGATAGAATAGCTTCAGCACCCCCAGTATTTTCATTGAAATTGCACCTCAGCCGTTGGTGTCTCTAAATTTTAATTTGACATAATTCTAAGACGTCTCAACATTCCATTATGGTAAAATATTTTTAAAATTTAATTTTAAGTATACCTTAACGATTGGACAGAAAATATTCTTATATCTAATATTTATGTTCCTATATTAGTTCCTAGTTCCTCAATTGTTATTATTATTATGTAATAATAATGTACTGTTTCATGCACCTTACTATGTGATTACTATAATGATTCTCAATTTATTTTGAAATAAAAGTTATAATAAAATTGTGTTGAAATTCCTAAATAATTGTTATTACTTATTTCTACGATTAAAACTAAAACACGTTATAAAACACTTGGGACATACATTTTTCATTCAGAGGACACAGTAATTTAGCCCCAGCTACAAACTGTAAAATATAAAGTAAATATTTTCAATGTGACTTTTTTTCACCATGCAATAAAAATGTTAAAAGGTTACATTGAATTAAATTTTTAATCAAATTTTCAGTAATTCAACATCTTCTAAAAATATGGTAGAAATATAAAATTGTTTTAAGCTAAACCAAATTTGAAAAATTACATTGTACGATTTTTACATTCTTTAAAAATTATCAATTATTACAATTATAAGTACAGTTTTAACAGAAAATTAAATATATTTATACATAACATAAATATTATAGCACAGTGATTAAAGACCAACCATATTTATAATAATTTATAATCATTAGAATTTCTGTTATCAAAATACATTTTAGTTAAGGATTGGAAAATTATATTACCAAATAAAAAAAATATTAAATAACTTGTAAATTGAAGGGAAAATAAAATTAATAACTTAATTTCGAATATAAAATAATAAGAATACATTTTTGTCTTTTTGATAAATGGAATTGCCTTTTTCCAAATTAACAAAAATACATTTACAATATATAATATAAATGTCAACACGAAAATTTATCCTTGTTTATTCAGTCTTTTTTTATCAATTGTTTTACATCTTTACCATCTGACATTATAAGTATACAATGACCATCAATGAAATTATTTTGGAGAACCATCATCTGAAATTCTGTTTTTTTACTACATAATTGTCTTAGTTTCTGTGTACTAAAATATCGTTCATCTAAACCAAGTGAACAATGTGTAAAGAAGAATTTTACATTTTCTATGTGCTTAGGAAGTGCAAATAATTTTTCCACTTGTACTATACAACCACCATAGTCCACCAAAATTACGTCCATTAGTTTTTTACTTAATGACTTCATTAGTTTCACTCGAAACCATTGATTATTGATAAAAGCTCCATATATTTTATCAACTTGAGGTTTTTGGACAAACGGTAAATTTTCAATTTTACTTAATTTATCTATAACAACAAGTCTTCCAGGACTGTTCACCTGAATGGTAATCGCATTAACATGATTTACCTGAAATATAACTACTGGTTTAGGTTCAATAACTTTAGCTACATTTAAACCATCAACAAACAATTCTACAACCCATGGTTCACCAGGTTTCATAATCCTAATAAACATTTTCTGATTTATATATTGTGCCATTTCATCGACGAAACTTTGTGATAAATATGTAAATAATTTTTTTTTTTTTACATTTGGCATGTGCAATGAACATCTTTTAATAAATGGTGGAGCTGACTTTAAATAACCAAAAACTTCATAGAATTCTGTACATATCTCTTTAATTCCATAATCAATGAAATAACAAGTAATGCCAATTTCATTAATTTCTAATATTCTTACTCGATACCACCTATTATCAGTTGCACGTTTAGCAATTACCATTTTACCAATTTTATATTCTATCACTGCTTCCCAAACTTTACCATTTTCAAGTTCATACTCTATTTTATTTTTTATTTGTTCACTATCTTCAGTTTCTATATAAAATTCGTTTATCGATTCCGTATAAATAAGAGTTACTTGCATCATTTTATCAATTTGATCAATTTTTTTAAGAGTTTCATATGTCTGATGAGTGATACCATATGAAAAAAAATTATTTAAAAATACTTTAATGTTTCTTTCATCCCATTTCATTTTTACTAAATAAGGTTCTTCATAATTTAAAACAGTCAAAACCACTTCAATAGAAGTAATAAATTCAAAAACTATATCATAGTAAGCTTCATTGTTAACTTTGATTTTATATTCTTCATCAACATTATCAAGAGTGCATTGGTAAGCCAATGCATGGTAACTAGCTAATTTTTTTGGAAGTTTTTTGAAGTTGGATAATAACTCTGAATTACCATAATCAATAAATTGAGCTGTAAAAGCACCTTTTACTGAATTCAAAATTTTAGCCCGATACCATAAACCATCATTTTCATATTTAGCAGCAACTATATCTCCTGGTTTTATGCAATCCAATTTTAAACATTTGTCTTTAAGAAGCTGAAGACTACTTGATATTTCTTGAAGAGATATCAGATCATTTTTCTTATGTACGTAAAAGTTTTCAAATGATTGAAAGTATGAAACATAAGCTTCCCAGCGTTTTACTTCCATAGTATTATATTTAGTTATTTATCAATACAAAAATATTAAATGGAAAATAAATACATAAAAGTAATCAGCTATCATGATTTCCAGTTACTTCAATCCTGAAACATAAAATGTAATTATTGCATCAGCTAATTTATACTCAACAGAATTATAATTATAAGATTTATAATGCAATTTCTACCTACAACTAGGACTGAGATTTTACTGCTCTAAAAAATAACAAATTTTTTTTTGTTACAGCAAATACTCTAAAAATCATAAAAAATGCAGTATAAAAATATGTAAAAATTTCATTAATCATAATTATTATATTTATTTAACATAATAATAACAAAATAGGTACTTATTTGTTTAATATTTTCATTTTATTTAATTTTATTTAAATTTAATTTAATTCATAACCTGCTATTGTGATAATCGTTGGACTCTTATAAATAGAAAATTATTTTTCATTTATATTCATTTTCAGCAATTTAAAATAATGATCGTATTTACTAGTTTATCAATTTAGTAGATTACATACTAAACGGACAATTTTTGAGCAAAAAAATGGTGAAACGTATAATCAAATATCCTAATATTTAAAAATGTAAAGATGAATTCTGAAAAATGCTCTAAAAACTTCAAAAATTCCCTAAAAACAGTAACATATGCATTAAAAATGCATATAAAAACTACATTAAACTAATCAGTATCACTTGAAACACATTTTATTTCTACAGATCTATGTGTTGGGACATAAAAAAAAAAGATGCATTTACATAAAAATCCCAGCCCTACTTAGAAGTATTGATCATCATTAAAATGGAATAAACATATATGAATTTACAATAAAATGAAAATAAACCTATAATGCTATACACTTGCATTAATCTAAAAATATTTAAGTACTTAATCCAATAAATGAATAATCATAGTTGATAATTTCCATTAACATTTTAAAATTTATTTTCAATAAGATCTAAACATTCACATGTAAATTGTTACAAACAAAACTATTCCCGAAATAAAAAGATTAGAACTTATCTCAAATATGTAGCATGATTTGCCTCAAATCAAATAATACCATACAAATAATAGCCTCTTCCTAGAAGTGATGGAAGACAGCAACTTTGACATATTACAAATCATAATCAAAGAAAATAACGACCAACTCCCATGAGCCAGCTCATACTCAATTAATACTTAACTCAGCTGTCTTTACAAACATCAAACTTCTCCCAATATTTTAAAATCTTCTTAATAACTTCAAAATAACTACAAAGATTTCCAGAAAGTATACATCAATGGCTCAAAAATTTATTGAAATATTACACAAATTACCTAATATTTGCTCCATATCTACAGCTGAAGCAATAGCCATTTTAATGGCTATAGAGATTATAATTCATGAAGTCCACTTCAAATTCATCAACGTTAGCATTTCACCGAGTACAGAAAAAAGTCTACAAAACCAATTCATCCCCAGAGATATTGAATATAAAATCCAGAACAATCTCAAAAAAGTTTCTGATTTGGGTAAAAATATAATTTTCATGTGAATTCCTAAGCATTCTGGAATAATAGGCAATGAAGTAGACAAACAAGCCTCAATAGCTATTAACAACAACAAAAACTAATAAACCAAATGTTATATGGTGACTTGAAAAAATTCATAAATTAATATACAAAAAAAAAAAAAAAAATGGCAAAAAATTTGGAACACACAAAACTCTAAATTAAATGAGATTAAAAGAGACATCTTCCTTTGGTCAAACCTTAAGTTCAACTGGAAAGAGACTGTGCTTAACTGACTTCACATTGGATACATTAGAATCATCCAAGATTTCCTGGTGGCCAGAGAGGAGCCCTCCAATTGTCGAATAATTTGGAACTGTGTTAACTGTCAAACACTTAATAGCTGACTATTTAAAGTAAAACCATGAACATAAGAACATAGAACATATTGGGCATAAGATATCCTACAATCTAGACACCTTACTTGGACCCAACCATGAAAAACCAATGTAATAAATTTGACAAATTAATCAAAATTTTTCAATCTTGCACAAAAAAAAAATATGTAACCTAAATATATAACTTATTTTTGTATTTAATCAAATAAACTTGTATCTTGTTTGTAATTAATGGCCTTTGTTGTCGATTTTTTTGAGATCAATAAAAAAAAAATACAATTATTTTTTATTTTTTTTTTTATTTAAAACATAACAAGTTTTTATATGTAAATAAATAATAAGATACTTATTTTTTGGGACTATAATAATATTAACCTAAACCGTACATATTTATTTAATACATAAAAATAAAAATATAAATATAATAATACTTCAGGCTAAGCATTTAATTATTTATTTCTACAGTATTTATTATATTAAATATTTATTTGTTGTTGAAATTAAAAGACAGTATTAATGCAAGTTAGTTATTAGAAATATTACATGAAAATGACAAGTATAAATCTACATATACTTCATAATTTCAACATAAAAGAAAACAACAAAAATTAAATTTTTGTAAGTTGTTTTTTCTAACAACATTGATATATTTTTGATAAAATAATTATTTGTCTTATGACCTGAGAATTTTATACAGAATATCAAAAAAAAAAAAAATTATAACTGACAGTGATTTACAATTATTGTATATGATTTAACACTATTGATACCTAATACATTTTTTTTTTCATTCATTTCAAACAAAAAATATAAAAGCAGAATATGCACCGAAGTATACAAAAATATTTTGATTAAGTACCAACTAAATAAATTATTTCTCTACACAAAATGTCCAATGTCACATAAAATATAGACTGTTTGTTTGTAAATTAAAGAAAATAAATAGGTACATACCATTAAGTTAAAATACAATACTGCTTAAACTGTATTTTAAGTTTATTAATATATTTTGATTTAGATATTTGTGACTGCTTAATAAAAAATATTATCTATATAGCTAATTAGATATTTAAAGACTTGAAAAATAGAAAATAAATGACAATAAAATGACAAGCTTATTTCTTAACAAAAGTAAAATAAAATGTTGAACAATAAAATATTTTACAGACCTATTAGAACAAAAAACACTGCAACCATGAATCAAGACCCACTATTCGTATGTAATATCAAAATAACATCAATTTATCAATGTATAAAAATAAATTTATAATATTTCATAATTGCAAAGAAACCCAATAATATTATAAATAATTTTTTTGGTAATTGGTATAATCGTTGATAATAACACTACCTATTACCATTGATTATAGTATATATCATATGTAAACATTTTTTTTAATGTGGTCCTTGATAAACATTTGAAAAAAAAATATGGCCCGCGTGATTCAAAAGGTTGCCGACCTCTGCTCTATACGATTATATTGTTATCTCCACGGACCAAAAAGCACAGTCCACAATACAATAGCGTCAAATGGTTTCCTCTTAATCAAAACGATTATTCATATCGATCATTTTTATATTTTACTCTTATCATTATTTTAATTCGATTCGATATGACGATACAATGAAGTAACAGGATTAATACTTTTCTTTCTATACTTACTCATATCGGTCCTTTTGTTTCAATATATTCATTCGATTCAATAAAAAGTAAAAGTATCGATAAATTTCTTTCTATACCTTGTCCCTAGTCATATGGTTCACTTTATTTATACTCATTGTGAAATAATTTGTAGAATATTATTTACACATGTATATTATTACCACAGACTGTATTTATAGAGTAGTATTCATGATTTAAAGATTATTTATTCACAAATAGGAGATAGCCCCTATTCACTCATCAATACCCAGAATCAATCGCTGGGTATAGAGCAGTGATGCCCAACCCTCGGCCATCAGGCCACATATGGCCATTGAAAGTAATCAATGTGGCTCGTAACAATTATTTTTTAATGAAACAAAAAAATTAGAAAAATTTAAAAAATAATTATAAAATACATTTTTTTAAAATGTGGTAATTTTATTTTCGAGCATTCTCAAAAAGAAATTACTCAATATAACCTGTGTACTGATAGTACTGTACAGAGCGTACTGATAAAATTAATGTGTACTTACAGCGTGTACCTCGATCTGTAATCTTTTCAGTAGGTAGTCAATAAAATATTTGAAAATAAACTCAACATATACATACATGTACACTGCATACTAACTAAGTGTAACAAGATATTATTCGTACTTTTATATTTGGTGGGCCGCCGAGGAAAAAAGGTTGGACATCACTATTTAAAGTTTTAACCAGGGGTCTTCAACCTTTTTATGCAGCGGACCACATTATTTTTTTTTAAACCTTGCGGGCCACATTTGTAGTAAAAACATGCATTTTATATAAAAATTCAGTTTTATTTTTACAATTTTTAAAATTATTAATTATTATTATTATTAAAACATAAATAGATTAACATATTTTTTTTTAATTACAAATTTTTTATTTTATTTTTAATGAAAAATCATTTAAAATGTGATCGCGGGCCACATATTATGATAGGGAGGGCAGTAGGTGGCCCGCGGGTTGAAGACCCCTGGTCTATGGATTCAACAAGTTTGCTCGTTTTTTAACAAGTACGCGCTCTAGTATAGTATATACATCTCGGTAGAAATAAGTATACAGAACAAATTGATCCAAAGAACTTAGTGACCTATTCTAGTTAACAATATGTTTATCGTACTCAACGAGATAAGAAGTCTTCTTATCTATCTCGATGATCATACTATAATTATATTATCTAATTGTAAAACACATGTATTTATTTAATGATAATTTTATTTACCATCAATTGTTGATTATCTCTGAGAAATAAGTAATAGTTGTAAAATATTAAGCTTAACTCAAATTAAAGATTCTCTAATTTTGTAGTTCATTGTTGGTAAGTGAATTATAATACATTTGATCGAAATCATCATAATAATAACTTAAAATTATTTAGATTAATAATGTCATCGTGGAAAAAAGCATCAAAAGTCAATCAAAAAACACATAGAGAACGTCATCAACCGGAAGTTCGTCAAAAGTATGGATTGCTAGAGAAGAAAAAAGATTATAAAGTTCGAGCAAGGCATCATCAAGAACGTGAGCGTGTTCTGAAGTTGTTAAAAAAACGAGTACAAAATCGCAATCCAGATGAGTTTTATTTTCACATGACAAAATCTAAAGTTGAAGATGGGCGACATGTAGAAATACGTGATGAAGATGAACATACTGAAGAACAAATAAAACTCATGCAGACAAGAGATTTAAAGTACATCAACATGCGAGCAACTATGGAAAGGAAAAAGATTGATCGATTACAATCTGAATTACATTTTTTAGATCAAGCTAATCAAACAGATAATACTCATATATTTTTCAATGATAATGAACAGTGTGATTTGGCTGAAAAGTTTGATACACATCCAGATCTTATCAGTAGAAAAGTTAATCGTTTAAGATTATCAGACTTAAAAAAAATACAATTGCCAGATTTAGATGAAGAAACTATTAAACAAATGACTTCTGAAAAGAGAAAAGCATATAGAGAACTAGAGCGAAGAAAAAATCGTGAAAAAGAATTGTCTGTAGTTCAAAGAAAATTAGAAATCAAAACTCATTTGCTTAGTTCTAAACAAGAACCACCAAAAAAAATAAAACCAGCTACAAAAGAAGCAGCACCGATTTATAAGTGGAAATACGAAAGGAAAAAATAATTTTTAATTAATAAATTATGTTAATATAGTATAATAAGCTTTTTATTATAAATAACATGTAATATACATACATTTAAAAATTTTTTTTATTTGTTTTACTCTAAATTTGTCTCATAAATCATATATTTCGGAATGAAATCAATTTCTTCTGTTTCTAATATAGAACAATCTTTGAATCTAATTTCTAAAAATAAAAACATGTTTAGTATGAATAATTATTTTTGATTAATTCAAAATTAGAGAGTTATGTGATTTTAAAAATATGATAATAAACATTAAATTAACAGAATTTTTTATTTATGCTAACCTTACCTAATCTATGGTAAAATGTTAACACTTTATTAAAAATTAATTTTAATATGAGGTGTTTAACCGATAATGATGTCAGAATACAGTTTAACTTTTATAGCAACGTTATATATTTTATGTAATAAAATATTCATAATTAAGGTAAATATTGATACTACTTGCCGTATGATGTTTCATTTAAATCTTCGTTGTTATCATGGCACATAACCCAGTTACCAATAAAAATTTTTTGCTTAAATATAATTTTTTTTTTCGAATTCTTCAATTTAACAAGAATCTAAACAAAAATAAAATATTTTAATGTATACATAATTTTATTATTTATAGAAATTAAATTAAATTCAAAATCCAAATCTAAATTCTAAAGCAGTGATCAGCAACCTGTTGCCATGTGGCCTTCATTAAATTTTAAAACTATTAAATTTAATTGTATATGATATAAATTTTTTTATAGGGTCCGTCAACTTTTCATAATTTGTATCCAAAAAAGTTAAATTTGAAGAGGAGCACTAAGCTTGTTCAATATTCCTGAATAATTTTTTTACTTGTATATATATATATATATATATATATATACATTTACAAAAGTGATAAATAAAATGCCTTTAATATTATATCCTTATTTTTTTTTTAATTAATTTAAACAAATAACATTATATTAGGTTGATTTATTTTGGATTGATACTTACTGCTATTATTATAATAATAGTTTAATACAGTAATAACCTTAATTTTATACTCTACATCAAAATAGTTAAATGCATTATTGGATGTGTTTGTAGTGGGAATCACTGCTGGTATATATAATGGAAGTTGAGACCAAACTTGCATACTTCCACTGGCAATATAACCTCTTGTACTTTCAGCAACTACTCTGGTATGTTTTAATGGTAATAGATGAAGGTTTTCCCAATATTTTGTAGTCTGTAATTTATTAAATACCAGTAAAATAAGATAATAATAAAAATTAACCAAGCATTAAAGAATGAAAACAATAAAATATTTAAGTTGATAATAACTAAAAAAAAATTCCAAAGGTTTACAAGCAAAATAACAAGATTTTTAATGAGCCTATGTATTAATTAAATTGCATAGACATATATATTAAATCATTAAACAACTTGAATAATTCATAAAATTTAATCACTAATATATTTAACTAAAAAATAGAAGTTGAATAGTAAGAAAGTTGATTTTACATACACCAGTTTGCCAGCTTACATAATTGAATTAAAAGTGAGGTTTTGAGGAAAGCTTCAGTAATTCTTCTTAATTGATTAATATACCCTTAGACTCATTATATTTTTAATTATTCTATAGGATTGATAATCTCTAATTTGGCTAATTTCAAGTTTTAATATTTTATAATACGATACAATACAATTTTATACTATACATAAAATAATGTGATACTACACTAATGAAAAATAGTTTATAGCTTAATTTATACTTATTCAATTTTATATTTAAAATAAACTTACTTGAATTAAAAATATTTTAGACAAAATTATGTCTTTCCACGAGTTGTTTTTTATAATAGCTTCAAGAAAAATTGTTTCTCCAGGTAAATAATACGTCTGTTTTAAATTTAAAATTATTTTAACTGAATGAAAGAAATTGAATAATGATACGGAAAATGCTGCATGTTTAACCTGTATAACATTAATACTATTAACTACCTATTATTGAATATAAATATAAATAGTTAAACTTACAAGTACATCATTACGTTTTTCTAGGCCTACCCATTGATTGACACTGAAATATTTTTTGCACTTGTTACTATCAAATTTTGCTGTTATTTTGTACCTCGTATGACCAAAAGGAACTTCATGTGATGGTGGTAAATTGTTGGGTAAAACAAAATGGAATATGAATATTTTAGAATAATCTTAAATTGATGAAATTAAAAAGTTATTATAAGAGGCTAAAATATAATTAATTAAAAATAAATATAGCAGGTACCAGTATCATCATTAATTGGTGACAAATTAGAGGAGTCCATTTTTGGAACCAGTACAGCTGTATCTTCAAAGAACAATATATATTCTTCGTTTTCTTTGCTGGTGCCTGGTTTCCGTATACGTGTGAATCCTTTGGCACTTAAGGTAGGTTTTTCTATTGGTTAAAAAGTTTATGTAAGATATATAAAAGCTATGAGACCACCTAGATACATAAATATTAAAAAAATATTAAACAGTATCGGATATAAGTCTTGGAAGGCTAGGTTATTACTAATAATCAAAGGACCATTAAAAAAAATAAATCAATCTACAATGAGCAATATTATAATTTTGTTTAACATTCATATAATTTATTATATAATTATTTGATATTAAAATCTGAACAAAGATCAAGTAACAAGTCACAAGTACAGAACTTTTCAAGGAAGGGGAAAAATTATATATTTTCCATTTTTTTTTTTTTTGTTACATTAAATTTTAACATTAAGCGTAGGTACGTGATTTAGAACTTACCATAGTGTAGATACGTTTCGTATTTTCGTATATAACAATTTTGGAGTTAATATATCTTACTACAACGTTCATTTGATGTAAAAGATTACATATATGAACTTGGTTCAATTTTTTGAAAAGAAAAAAAATGGACTTACATTATTTTACTTGTGGTGTACAGAAATGTTTTTGATATACTACATAACCACGATGTATTTTTTACGCCATAAAATAAATCTAAGAACCTGCACCCGAGGCCCCTGTGATCTTTAGATCCGGCACTGAAAACACTTCGTACTCGTGTAACTTACCATTGGGATCGGTACATGGTAGCCGTACGCATAGTGCGCCTGTAACGATACTGCCGGGGAACGACACCTGACACACGTCATTTAGGAAAAGATCCATTTTTCGAGTCGTTCGTGGATCGATACTAATTTCCGGTTCACGGTTGTTTGAACAAAAATCAACTGATCAAATGGTGAATCTGTCGATTGCGATGAAGGAATATTTAAAAATCATAAATTTTTAGTTGTAGATGCCTGAACGGAAATAGGAACAGATTTCTATTAAACCGCAGTCATGAGGTAATAGCCATACGGCGTGGCGGTAGTTAACTGTTTAAAATTATATCTACATCAACAGTCAACAGAATACAGTAGTTGCAGTTTGACAGTTGGGTTTGGACTTTGTATGCGTTAGTCACAACTCATGTTACCAACGTAAATTAGTCGTAAGCTTGCAGTAGCCGATGACTGAAATGACTGATATGATATTTATTTTTAGTAACATTTACTTTTGGTGCTGAACCGAGGGAAATCCGTAGAATATATTGCACAGCATTCAAGTTTCAGCGGACTAAATTTGGTGTAAAAATCTAATTCGTGCTTAATTTGGTTACTTAATTCGAGGCGGATTTTCACCGTTTAGCATTTAATTTTTAATTTACTTTTCTTGTTCCTGCAGTACGGGGGTTAAGGGGGTGGACAAAGAGGGCAATTGCTCCGGTGATGATTTTTTAGGGGCGGCATAAACAAAAGGTTTTGAGTTTTTTAATGCATTATAATTTGCAGGAAGAATTATTAATTATTGAAAAAAAAATATATAACAAATAATACTAGTAGTATAATATTATATCGTCTACCACAGAATTATCAGGTGAGAGAGCGTTTAGAGTATTATTAGTATGACCATTATTATTACAGTGCTTAGTATTTTCTATTTTCGTTCGTATTATCGTATTATTTTCGAGTATAAATTGTAAACAATATGTTGACAGGAGTAAACACATTGTCACAAATGTGTTTGTTATATACCCGTATTATAATTTATAATCATAACATTATTAAATTTGATATTTATAGTTTTAAATTATTTATTTATTCACTCCCGAGCAATTTTTTTTATTATTATTATTCTATTGTCTATTAATCTTTCGAGTTTCGTCATATTGACTAAAAAAACAAACAGACTTAATATTTGCTTACAACGGATTTTCTTCAATTAATGAGTGGACAGCGCATAAAGTTAAGTAGTGTTAAATTTTTATATTAAATACTAATAGTTATATTATTTTAAAAATTCCCATATTAGCTATGTTTTTTAAATATAGATCAATAAAACAATTTTATCGTTGTCGTTATTTTTATAATTTTTTTATATAATGGATACAACGGTTTAATACGTTTGTAAAAGGCGACATTTGAAATCTGCTTTTAAACGGTGTATTCGTTAATCCAACATTGGGTCCTTATAAACTTTTTCGATATTCACGAGTGAGTAGAACAACAAAGAGTAATACTAACCTAACAAGAGTAAGAAGTATTGTTATAAATAGATACTTTCATAACAAACCAGTAAAATGTTGCATTTTTTTTTTGTTTTCTGGCCTTTAAGATTATTCCGTATAACAAATTTCCCTAGGTCCGTATCACCAGCACTTTTAAATAATAGTACCAAACTTTGACAGTATTTTATACTTTTTTTTGTACAATTTTGTACAACCAAAATACAATTTTGTACATCCACCCAAAACCGAGAAATTCCGACTTTTCTATGGTCATCACATTTTATACTGTGCCTACTACCTATAATAGCCAAAATGTTGTACAGTAATACAGTATTAGTAAAATAATATGACAATAAGTTAAGAGGACGTGTTACCAAAACGTGTACGCGTGCAACGGCCGAGAAACGCGCAGTTAAGTGTTTTCGCGATCCGCATGCACGCGACGTTTATGTCACCCCCACTGTCTTTCGTCCAACATGGTCTTTTGACCTACCTAGTTCTTTTCGCGGAAGCATGCATTATTATTTCATGAACGGTGGTAGTGAGCGAATTTCATAATAATAATACAATAATACGCGTTCAAGATACCCATTTTACAAAATATCAAATAAAACTGATTTCGTTATCGAGTGAACGTTCGTTTTCATCATTTCGTCACCCCAAAACATTTACAAGAAACAACATTGACCAAAAAAGACTTAGTAACATGGCTATTTCACATATTGAAAAAACTTTTAAAATTAATTTTAATACTATTATTGATCAGTTTGATGCAGATTTAACAGAAAGAGGTAGAAGACTTCAATTATGATAGACATCTTGTAAGGTTATAATATTAGAGTTAAATTTTGATAATATTGTTAGTATAATAATTATATAAACATAATTAATTGTCTAGTATAGCATTTATTATGATATATATAATAACTACAAATTATAAAATTATGTATAGGTATTATATATTACATTTAAAACGGTATGACTTATGGACATCGGAAATAAATTACATTTTATTTAAAAATAAAGTAATATGTTAAAGTATAGAAATGCATACTTTATGTATAATTTAGTGTGCTTACACTTCTATTTGTTTTGTTTAGCTTTTATAGTTCTACAATTTTTAGCTGCGCTCCGACCGCTTTTAGAGTCTGATCAGATAAATTGTGAGCATGGGTGAACTTGGAAATTTATTAGGGGGGCGATTACTAGGGCAGAGGACTTGTAGCTCTAAAAAATCAAAATAGAAGTGTACGCACACTAAATTACTGAAGCGAAGAAAATATAATGATTTAAAATAGTTCTAAAAAAATCGACGAACGATTTTCTTATATTATTTTATATTCCTACACTAAAAAGTTGTCATAAATAATCATAATATTATCATAATTAAAAATGCATTGACACATATTTTTTTCTTTTCGGGTGTAATATCCTGGAGGTCTTTATCAATGATACAATAATCCGCTCTTACTAAGCGAAAAGATCACAATAGATTAAAGTAGAATGGAAACTTTTGTCCTTTCAAATTTTAGTCCGCCATCTTAAAAGGGCTCGACAGGTTTCTCAAAAAGAAGAATAAATTATATTATTGAGATATTATTGAGATACCCTGTTTATAAAGATTTTTTTCAACACACCATGATTATAAGAATTTAGATTTACATAAGAAGAACACATTTACATATGTATGTGGTTATATAATGAAAAATTACTTAGAAAATCATATACCTACCTTTATCAGGATTGTATTAATTTGCTCATCACCAAAAACAGTTAAATTAGTCTTTTATCTGATATTTGTTCTAATTAATATTATTATTAATATTTGTATATATGTAATTACCATTTATTTTATTTTTAAAACTAATTATCATATAACTAATAGTCATGTATTTTTTTTTTTTTTTTTTTATTTTATTAGCTTTTAGTATACAACTATGATAGCTCGACATTTATAGAGATTATAAATAAAACAACATTATACATTAAACATTAGTGTACATATTAAATAATGAAGCCAGCATCCAATATAAAGGAAATTATTAATTTGATGGCGGTAGTGGATTTTGTGTTAAGTATGGAGTGGATATTTAAGGGGATATTATAATAGTCATGTAATTTATTTACTTTTTTTCATTATTTTAAAAGAATTCAACAACTTGTTCATAGAATAATATTTACATTATGTACTTTTTCGAATTAATCTCTTTCGTAAATAATGTATTTTGTTTATATTACTGTTATCATTTGGATGTAATTTTTGTTACACTTATAAACTTAGAATGATAAATAATGTAATTTTGTAGTATTGTTGATAATATACCTTATGAAAAAGAATATATATATATATATATATATACATACAGTCAACTCGCGATATAACAACGAATTTCAAGGGACCGAGCAAAAAGTTCGTTGAATCGAAGTTCATTATATCAAAAGCATAAATCAACAAAATTTATTTAAACGATATTTAAAATAAAATTTAAATTTTATTAGATTTTTATAATTACATACCTACATACAATATGAGATTATTATTAAATATTTCATTAGATACATTCATACATTTTTTGTTTATTACATACATACATATTTATTTTTTAAAAAATAGGATTTTTTTTTTGTGTGTATCCATTTGCGCTTACGCGATTAATAGTGTTGTTCAAATTTAGAATATTATAAAATACACTGTCGTCAATATCATGTCTTTGTAAAAAACTTAAGACGGCACGGAGACCTAATTTTGCTTCATTCGAGCTTACGGGGGGCTCTTCGTCATCAGCTTTATTCAAAATCTCATCGTCATTGAGAACTTCACAGACAACAAAAACTTTGTCGAGAGCAACAAATTTTTATTTATATTTAATACAATTTACATTTAACAGACGTGTATCATATAAACGATACATGAACATTATCTTATCGCATAAGAATGGCCGAAACAAACTCGTAAAATGTGCTGTATCAATCTCCAAAATTGTAAAAATTCGTTACATTGCGTGAACTTTAGCCAAAAATCTTCGTTATATCGAGGAGACCAAAATACATTTGATTTTTCGTTATAGCACAAGGTTTTCAAGGGTCCGACAGTTTTATACGTTATATCGAGATTTTCGTTATATCGAACTTCGTTATACCGCGAGTTGACTGTATATATATATACTCTTTAAATATTTGTTTTTGTATAAACTGTAGTCAGACAAAAATAAACAATTTCTTTTTAAATTAATTTTTTTCTATCAAAAAATATGTAGTCATTATACATATTTAACTGTTGTAAAAAATATAAAAAAAATAAATAATTAACTTAGTTGCTCCAGTGATTTTAACTAGTTAAATTATATTATGTTCTAAATATTACAGAATAACTGCAGCTATTTATAGTTGACATATTTATTTTCAATAACATTAATTTTGATTTTTTAGAAGAGCTTTTTATTTATGAATTATTTAAATGAATAAGTTAAAAGTTGGTACTATTTAAAATATGATTTTTTTGACCAATGTCTAAAAGTAAAATACTTTTCATTAAAGAATAGTGATATGATATAATGTATAATGCAATTTATAAATATTGTATAACAGTGTTTTTATTTTTTTAAATATTGTTATATGTATATTATAATAAATTTTAGTATCCATAGGCGTAAGGTAATCAAATATATTGGGGGGGGGGGGTTGAAGCCCTACTATACATTTTAAAATACTTAGACTTATACTTATATTTTCACGGAGGTTTTGCTCCCACACGCTATCGTTCATCGAATTAATGTTAATGACATTCATAAATTTAAAAAAAAAAAAAACCACCAAAATGTAGTAAAGACATTAATTAATTTTTATTTTTTTCTGATTATTATTTCAAATGTCTATTATTTTTGGAGTAGAGATTTAAAATACTATAATAGTAATATAATAATTATATAATAATATATACTATGTTTTAGTATTATTGTCATTCGGGGAGGGTTTAATATAATCAGAATAATTTATCTGAAAGAAATATGCAACAAATAATTCTGGAGGGCCAAGCCCTCCGAGCCTCTAGATTCACCTATGTTTACACTGATGAACTTTTTCAATATAGCGGATCATATTTTCGAGCGGCCTTAAGCGCCTGTGCATTTCCTTATCAGTTCCACAGATTTCATTCTGTTTTAATAATTCTTTTATGCTACTTCTTCTTTCACGAAGATATGTGGACTTACAAGTCACGAATTTAAATAGTATCTCTGTTATCTAAAGCTGTGTTCTCAACAGAGTAGATTTTGAGAAAATACATAAGTTGAAAAATGCTATTTGTTATTTTGTAATTAGAATGAACTTGTTTTAATTTCGAATATATTTTTAATTTCCTATATATACAACAGTACTGTATCATTTACTATACAACTAACTTGTCCACTACTAATTATTCGTGTAAAACTTCGACTACTATATGGTAATAACATGACTCACAATATATGTTAATTATTTCTTATATAATATTTTTTTGAATCATTTCCTGGTATACGTGGGAGATGGTAAACTGTGGCATAATTAACTTTTTTTCAAAAGTTGATATGTAAATTGTAACAAGAAAAATTGAACATTATACAACCTGCGACAAAACCGATAAGATACATTATACAAGCTGCGGTACTTCATTTTATATACCTACGATATTATATACTAGTTGTATAATATGTATTAATAGACTAATGTCTATTTTATCTTTATCGATAAAGATATAATTAAAAAAAATAGCAATTCAAATAAACAATAATTCTATAGATATTGAATATGCATAACCATTGGCGCACGCAGTGGGAAGGGGATAAGGGGTTGTACCTCCCCCGAAATTTTTTTCCGGTGTCTAGGTTAAAATTTACAAATTTTACAAGTTTGAAATATGAAGAGCTAGTATTGAATACCTAGTATCATTGATTATAGAATGGTCTATTCTATTATCAATGCTATTATTTAAGTCAAAATATATTAACGATTTGCATAATTTTGTTAATTGTAAAATGTGTTATATTTTTACCTTGACCCCCCCCCCTCCTCTTCCCCCGAAAAAAAAATCCTGTGTGTGCCACTGTGCATAACTATGCACTAATAAAATATAAATATTCTATGAAAAGAAAATGGATCGAAATATGCAAATATATTTAACATAAAAATTTTACTTACATATTCTATAGGTCACAAAATAAATTTCTATCCTACTCCGTAACTTTTATTATTAAAGGAAAAAAATATGCTAAAACATGAACATCCGCCATTTAATCATAACCTTTCTACTTTCTTTCAACCTTTTAGCTGTAATAAATTCTTATTTATAAAGTATAATGCACAATTACATATCGAATATCACAGTGTGTATGTTATACGCTGTATAAGCGATTGTGTTCATTAATCTTAATTAGATTAGTATTTAAATATCTTGTTATTTTTACCCTCGTACTGAGTATGTGTATTTCAATAATTTTAGTCACGAATATAATATTAATAATTAATTAATTATAATATAATATTTATTAATAAGTTTGGATAAAAAACTAGATTTAAGACTAGTTTCTAATAAAAAAACCTAATATGGAAACTATTATTTCAAAAATTCAAGCACAAGTGTCTCATTAAAACAAGAACATGTTAACAACATTTAAATATTATTTATTTATTTTTTACATTTATTTTTAGTTTTATTTATTTAAGCGTTCGTAATCAAAAAAATGTTTATATTCTATTATGAATTATTCGTAGAGGTCGCATTAAAAAAAAAAAAAAAATTGGGATCGCGATTCGAAAAAGGTTGAAAACCATTGAATTAAACCAACGACTGAGTACCTGTTACTGAATCTGACTATCGAAGCCGAACCACAGAATAGTTTAAATTTAAACTATTCTGTGGCCAAACTACTGACTAATTTCAAGGACTTAATTTAAGGACTCAGGAAGCTGCCCCAAGATTTATATGCTAATATGTTAATTTATTATGTAACTACTATAGAGAAATAAATTATGATGAAATAATGGATATATTTTGTAAAACAAGTCATCACATACTCGTATTCAATGCCTTAAATTAAATAACTGATTAAAATTATTATGTTTGTTGTAGTATTATTTTTTAAATCTTTAATAATTAATAAGTTATTGTATTTTAAAAACTGATATGAGCAATACCAACTGATGAAGATTTTTTTTTTTTTGTAAAATTTTAAATTCAAACTCCTATCAAAAAAAGGTTGTACAGGAATTTACAGTATTTTTAAATTTATTTTAAGTAAACATGCATTAGGAAAAAACATTATTTTAATCAAACGAATATAGTCGTATGGATGTAAACCAAAAAAAATATGGTGAGCCTAAAATTATAATTGTACTGGTTCATGGAAAATTTGTGGGCACCACTGTACCTGATGATTCGTTGTATATACTACCTACAATTATCGTCACTCTCACAATCGGTTTCAATTCCTTTGATTGCTTTGTGAAACGTCTGATTCGTAACAAAATTCGTTTTCCAACGATGACCGATTTTACGAGTATTTCAATTCTCGGATTTTACTGGTGACCAATATTGCTGTCAATCCGTCAAGATTGACTGTTGTCTCCGATATCGTAGGATAATAAAAGTTTTTTAGCGAAGGTTGGTTCATAGGTATTGTCAATTATTTTTCAAACTCTTTTGATAAAGCGTGATGTAGTTATATAATGAAAAAGTGTTAAGAAAAACATGTACCTATATTCTGTGAGGTTGTTAGTAAACAATTTTTTCTACAAACTATTCATATTTTATAAAAATATATAAACTTATAAATTACTTACTTATTGTTTTAAATAACAGATTGTAAGTATATTTTAATATAATATAAAAAAATTAAAAAAAAATAATATTTAAGTATATATTACAATATATTATGTAATATATACTTAATACCTAAGAGTTAATTTTGTTTGTAGAACAATATTTAACATAAAATGACATGGACTAAATTGCATAGTCATATTTTCAATCGTTTTGTTTCGTATGATTATTTTTGACAACCACTTGAGTGGTTCATTAAAATTATCGGAGAAACATGGAGGGGACACTATAAGCGCTTTGGAAAACTGTACAGTTTACCTGCGCAGGCAAACCAGAGTGTGTATACGAGCTTATTTTTGTGCAACTGTATAGGTTTTGAAAACTGTTCAGTTTTCCAGAAAGAATTGAAAATTTATATTTTCTACCTGTACAGTTTTACATACTGGAACGTGTGTATGGTTTAACTGACAACTGTACCGGTTTCAGATATTTCAGTTTAATTTTGACAGTTCAGTTTTGCGTGCATGTCATGGTGGCAGATGAGGTTAACTGATGGTTCAAAGTTTAAACCTGATAATTTATCCCAACGTGTGTGTGTGCATTGCCTGTACAAGTAAACCTGTACTTTTTAACTGCACAGTTTACCTCTGATGGCAAGATGCATCGTGTATGGCCAACCTAAGAGTTGAATTTCCCACCATTATACCGCTATGATAAAATATTGTCATACATGGTCATTGATTTTGAGTGTTTGGCAATTGTCCGAAAAATGATAATGACCTAAGAAACGATAAGGTCCGAAATTTGAAAAAGCAGTACCAACTGACTAAATCGAAAATTACCTATTCCAATTATATAATTTATATTGATAAAAGTTATACAATGTTCCCCGATTTTCAGAGCGGGAAAAATACTAATAGATTATACTGTTTTCAACAAAAATGTTGATTACTTTTACTTTTTATTTATTTTATTTTACTTTAATTACTTTTACTTTTTCTTTTATTTATATTTATTTTCTACAAAAATGGACTACATTTTAAACTATGGTAACATATAATTATGTATAACATTAAATCATGGATATGTTCTCTGGTTAAAATTTTGACTTGTATTATTTTAGTAACCAATGTAGTTAGAGAAGGGTAATTCTTTTCTGTACTCGCAATTCTTCTTAATATCCATGTTATAAATCTATGTAATATACCATGTATGTTTATAAATATCTAGCTTAATATTTAATTGTATGTAAATTTTTCTTAAAATATATATGTTTTTTCATACATTTTTTAATTTTCCATGTGCTAGTATGTCAATAGTATACAATTTTACGTTTTAATTTTAAGTGTGTACTGAAAAATAAGTATTTAAAAATGTATTATTTAAATATATTATTATAAATTATTTCATATAATTGATACCTGTTTATTTTATATGTAACTAATGAACACAATATATAAAAATTAGCATATAAATAAGTACTAAAACTCATGTAAAAAAAAATCCTTAACATTATTTAAATTTAAATAAATTAATTGATATTAATTTCATCTTTAAATAGGAAATTCCAAGTATTAAATTAGGCACTAAAATATACACTATAATATTATATATCTGTGTCTTTATATGTTTATGTTAAATACACAAGGATTGGTTGGTCATAAAATGTGAACCGTAGTATAGTTTAAATTGAATATAATTATTATCAAAAAAAAAAATAATTATCATTCAAATGCAACAGTATAACTTCTTAAGTAAAAAAATAATTTTATAATATAATTTTTAGAAATTTTATATTGGCAACACATTTTATGCCGCTGTCTTTCGATTCCAGTCCTTATCATTTTTCGAACAACTGCCCCCAACTCATTGATTTTAGAATGTAATCGAAAATCTGGTTAAACTGCTATCTTATCATTGCGTGTTATCTATGGATTTGATTGAACAATTATATGATATGATTCTTATTTTATCAACAGTCGTTGAATTGTTGAAGAATCGAACTCTTTTTTTTTTAAAATATTTATAATTAAAATTTCAGTATGGATTCAACTGTTTTATTGAATGTTTGCCATAGTTTTAAAATATTAAATTAAAGTTAAATTAGTAGTATTAATATAAAATGAACTATTTTTTAAAGTTCATTGGTTTTAATTTTCAAAAAAGTCTACATGTTACGTTGAAGAAAACATCTTTTGCACATTCAGCTGTTTCATTGAAAAATAAATGTGGTTCTAAAGGTCCTCCTTGGCGTATTATGTTCTTTGGTAATGACGATTTTTCTGTCAAAAGTCTTCAAATGCTAACATCCAAAATGTAATTATATTTTTCCCAAAAAATGATATTTATTTAATTTGTCATGGTACATTTATATAGGAGAACACAAACTTTAATCTCAAAACTGGATGTTGTCACAACGTCTAAGGGCAATGGTATGGATGTCAAAAGTTGTGCAGTTGAAGAGAAATTAGATATATATGATTGGCCTGTTTCTAAAACACTTTTAGATGGGAATTATGATATTGGAGTAGTTGTTTCATTTGGAAGATTAATACCAGAAGAGATTATTAAGTGTTTTCCACTGTAAGATTGCAATATCACTCTTAAGCCTATTAAGTGTGTAACTTTTTCCTAGTAGTTTAATGTCTTTTATGGTAATCACTATATGACATTTTTGTATTATATTAAATTTTATATTAATTTCATTCTGCATATTTTGTGGTATACATCAAAAGGAATTAGTTTATACCACATTATATATGAGGCATTAAGTGCTGTTATATACTAACCCCTAATTAATCATATTGAGATTTATGCTAAACAAATTTCATTCTTACTCTTCATATTATTTTTAAATTAAAATGCACAAATGAGTTAGATGCTGCTATATAGTGAATATTTATTGAATGTAGCTTTGACCATTTATGAATTAAATTTTATGGTGTGTAGTTGTTAATTATGTCATTAACTGAAATGTTATAAATTGTGGGTTAGTCAGTTACTGCTTTTAATACTTAATATTAAATAGTAATACGTATAATTATTAGCATTGTAAATACCTTAATTTTTATATGATTGATATTGGTTTTATAAAGTTAACAATAAAATATAAATTATTATTACAGTAAAATTGAAATTCAATATTCTATGATTTAATTATTACATTAATATATATTTATAATGTAATATTATTTACTACACTGCTCAAAATAGTCATATTATTTATATTTTATAAATATTTGTTTTTAATTCTGTTTCAGAGGAATGATTAATTTACATGCTAGTCTTTTACCAAGGTGGCGAGGAGCTGCACCTATTGTTTACTCTATACTTAATGGTGATTTAACATCTGGGGTTACAATCATGAAAATTCAACCTCGTAGGTAAATTCAATATTTTCAAAATAATACCCATGTTTGAAATTATAAATAATGTGGTTATTTACATCATATTTAGCTAGGTTTAATTTATTAGAAATTGTAATAAAAATCATTCTGCAGAATAAATAGTAACCTTTTTTTGTAGATATATTAAATACATAGGGTATACTTACTTTATTTATCATTAAATATTTATTAAAAAAATATTTATCAATAATTTTTTAAAATTTTTTCAATTTTAATAGTATGCTCTAAATAAAAAAGATACTTAATAAACTATTTTTGAGTTGTTCATTTAATCAGAGTGGTATTTTATAGGGGGCAAATATTGTATCCATCCAAAAAAAATTATTTTGAATCCATTTTTTTTTTTTACTGTATTTGGAACATGTATTTGTTATTTTATAATGTTCTTTCAAGTGTAATTGTGTATTCGATATCCAGTAAGTTTTTCATTAATTATTTGTTAAAATGTTTTATATTGGTTCTAATGCTTAATGTATTTAAAGAAAAGCAGCAAATATCAACAATGGTTTTATTTTTGGGTGGATAAAAAGTTTCATGTTTGATATCGCAACACATGTATTAAAACAAATGTTGTCCATAAATACTTATTTTATATATATTTACTTAAATTGTAGAGTCTCAAAATGATTCATTTAATTTTTTTTTAAATTTTATAAACACATTTTGAGAGTAAAAACTGACATACTTAATAATTTTTCTTAAATAATTATTTTATTTATTTATTATTATTTACTGTAATTCTTATTATTATAATACAATAAGTTATGTAAATAAATAAATACATTTAAAAATAAGACTACTATGTTTTAGATTTGATATTGGTGAAATTGTTAAACAGCATAGCTGTACAGTTGGCAAAGATGAAACAGCAAATGAACTAAAAAAAAAATTAGCCGTTATGGGTGGTCATCTGTTGGTTGATTGTTTTAAAGAATTAACAAAAACTTTAAAACATGCTGTACCACAACCTGAAAATGGGATTACTTATGGTAAAATATTACAACGTTTCTTATTGTAATTTATAACTGCTATAAATTGATTTTAAATTATGTAGATACGAGTATACAACTTAAGAGGATGCTACATCTGTTTTGTCTCCGTCTGACATATGTACAACATAGTAAATTTGCGTTCAGTAGTTCAAATTTTATGATAATATCTTTAGTATTAGAATAAACTGACCTATAATAATACATTATCTTTGTTTAGTTGTTCTGTTTTTACTAATGTTTTATTTGAGTTATGAGTTTTTTTTACACTCATAATTTGCTTATAAATTAAAATATTGAAAAAACAAACCAACAAAACACAGAAACTGTTTTTCCCTTAACGTTTGATTATAGAAAATTTTATTCTAATATTAAAGCTAACATCATTAAATTTGAACTTCTGAATGCAAATTTAGTATGTTGTATGTGTGTTAGATAGAAACAATTACATGCAGGTGCAGCATCCTCTTACCAGTTTTCCATAGAATTTTCAAACCAGATATTATAATTATGTTTTTATTATTGTATTTGTGTTGATTTATCTTTTTAATTTTTTAGCACCCAAAGTTAAGAAAAATTTATCTCTTATTAATTGGGATATATCAGATTCCAATTTAATATACAACAAGTATCGAGCATTATGTGATTTAATGCCATTAACAACAAATTGGCATAGGATACCTGTAAAGTTATTAAAAGTATGCAAATATCAGGCACCAAATGTAGAAACCGAGTTGAAACCTGGGAAATTAGTATATGATAAGCGAAAACACAAATTGTTTGTTAAATGTGGTGGTAAAGGAGGATATGTGTGTATTGAAAAACTCAGAATTCCTGGTCATAAAACTATGTCAGGTGAAGACTTTTACAATGGTTTTGTTTATATGAAACCAGATCACGAATGTAAATTTGGTGATTGAGAAAATTTGAAAATGTTAGTACATAATTGTTTTGTAAGTGGATTCTTGACTGTTAAATAGTTTTTTTAATTGTCTCATTATTAAAATCATAAAAAATTGTAAAATTTTTTAGTTATTAAATGTGTTACAAATTGATTGAATATATTTCAATGTGTTCATGTTTAGTTTTTGAATTTTACTAAACCGAACAATAATATTTTGAAAAAAACAAGGTAAAATCAGTGTTGGGAAGGAACTCGTTCTAAAAGGAATGGATTCCTGGAACGAGTTCTTTTTGTAGGAACGAAGCTTGGACTGCTTCCTTTAAAAATAAAGGAAAAAGAATATAAATTAATACTTTATATTGAGGAACGTGAACGAAAATCACAGTTCCTCTTGAAATTTTAAAAAACATACTTTTAATTTTAATTTAGTTTTTTTTTTGTTTCTACGCGTTAACAACTAAGAAGGTATTTCTAGTTTATTTACACGATTAATGAATAATAACATGGACACCTAACCCTGCACACCGCAGTGACAATGCTAATATTTATGTACTGGATTGTAAGAATACTAGGAATGTAGGATATAGAAATGAATTGATAGACTATAAAAATGACTATAAATGTTATTACGTATATATTTATGATTTTTATCGTATTAATTTATTATCGTATGATTGATTAACACCGGTTAGATATATTCGTCATAATAATATTATCGGTTAAAGATATAAATAGATTTGGTGATTTCCGAATGATTATTACGTAATATTATTTTTATGTAGTATGTAGACCGTACAGTCGTGTAGTAGATATTGTGTTATTTTAGCGTTATTATTCGTTGATGCAGTATTTTACGAACACCAATGACCAGCCCGGTATATTAAGTGAATAAAGTAAGTGTTGTTTAATTATTATTGTTATTATTTTATTAGTTAAAAGTTTATTGATTAATGATTATTAATTACTAATTGCCTATTAGGGCTCGGATGTTTATGTATTTAAAATTATATTGTATGCAATTATGAACTAAAAAATTACGAAATATACAATCAAATATGTTAGGTATATATTAGGTATATATTCCGTGTATCCTCGGAAACAGGGTACACTTTACCACTCATTACCTTTTATATATTTTTCAATTCTGTTTTCGGGACATTAAATTAGATTATTGGATCTTTAATTTCGATAACTTATAATTTTTTTTACTTACGTATTTTGCGCATGCGCAACACAACTTCACTTTTTTTTAATGGCAACCCCTATTTTTAATATCATTTTCGGATTAATGGATTTTTTCAAGTAATTATTTTGTTGACATTTATTTTTTAATTTTGCGTGAGGATTTGCCACTTTTTTTAGATGATTTACCCTTAGATACACGTAGAAACATGTATTATCAACAAGACGGGGGCACCTGCTCATAATTCCCGAATTGTACAAGAATTTTAAAAGTTAGATTTGGTGAAAAATGTATTGCAACACACTAGTGGAATGGCCTTCAAAGTCACATGACCTTACACCGTTAGATTTTTTTTGTGAGGACGTTTGAAAAATGTTGTGTATAGTGATCCCTCAATCAACATTCATGACTAACAGTAACTAACTGTTGAAAAAGAAAGAACTAGTATTAGCATCATGTTTGTTACCACGCTTTAAATTAGTATGGCTTGATGGTGCCAAACATTTTATGGCTAAGTCCTGGTTAAGATCTTACTCTGAAAATTTGGATTATACTCCTAATTCTGAAGCCAGTAAAACTGAATCTCCATCATGTACAGTAGGTACAGATACATTTAAAGACAATTTTTTCTGTTTACAAGTAAATAAAAATTCAGTTACAAGTTTTAGTATTGTAGAGTTAGAGTCATATTTAAAAAACCAATAAAAAAAGTTATCTGTGTTGTTATTATATCCAACAGTACTAACAGCATTTTTAAAATTTAACACACCTTTCCGTCTAGTGCTCCTGTCGAGCGACTGTTCCCAACAGGTTCTAATGTGATGACTCAAAAAAGGCACAAATTGAGTGACTCACTCTTTGAAAAGTTAGTGCTAGTAAAACAAAACAAAGTGTAAAATCTATTTGTATTCATAACATGTTAATATTTTATATTGTTTATACTAATTATACTTTAATGTTCAGATACATATATTATTATGTTAGATACTAGATTTATAGATGTATTATTCTTAAATATTTAATATTGTTTATTTTATAAGTTATTATGTTATACTATTTATACTTAAAAGTTTTAAGTACCTACAGGAAAATCAAATAAAATAAAGACAAATTAAATCTACCTATAATCTATATTATTAATTATTATACATTTTTATTTTTTTTATATATTAATTCAATTGTTTAGTACTCAGTTCCTGTTTAGTTTCATTTTTTTAAGTTGTAATTAATTTATTGACCTAACATCTTAAATAAAAAGGTAATATTCTAAAACCGCTAGATTAGGTAAGTTAAAAAAATAAATGGAACGATAGTTGGAACGAGTTCCTATTGTAGAGGAACTGCATTTGGAATGAGTTCCTTCTTTGAATAAGGAACGAAGATCTGGAACGAGTTCATATATTAGGAACGGAATGAGATTAATTTAAAAAGGAACTTTCCCAACACGGGTCTAAACCAATATTTAAATCTTCATTTTCAGATTCTAGTGTTGTTGTTGACGAGGAATTAGTAACAACTAATTTTTGTTTATTAATATTAAAGACATCAAACATTCTTTTAGCCATTATTAAATTAATTACAATTTATAATTTAAAATTAACTGATTAATTCAGATAAATATACAATTTACACAAATAATATAAAATTATATTGTTTATTTGTTTAGCACGTCACTTACGGAAAACCACACGTAGGTATTACAAACAAAAAAATAAAAATATAGGTGATCACCGTATATACTCCAAAAACGTAATAGAAACTAAGGCCCTTTTCACACGACGCTACTATGGTGGCGCCACCAAAAAAGTATAGCCACCAAACACGCCACCGGACACATTATTTTATTATTTTATTTTACAATGAACAACATTCAAACAAACTAATTAAACCAATATTTAGTTCCAAAGTGGAAGTTGAAGAGTTAACATGTGTTGTTCATTTGTACAGCCGTAGTAGACGTACAAAGAAAAAAAAACAGGAAGTTTTGGGTACATTCATTAATTGCTGATCGCTCAGCAAAAGGCTTATTCAATTTATTTTACTATGATTTAAGAAAATATGAAGACAATATTTTTAATTATTTAAGAATATCGATCAGTTCATTTGATGAACTTTTCGGCATTCTTAAAAATGATTTAACCGGCCAACATACCAATATGAGAGACTGTATTTCACCTGAAGAAAAATTGATCGTAACTTTAAGATAAGATATATATTGGTCAATAAATACTTTAAAAATACTACTAAAAAAACATTTTTGTACTACCAAAAAATATAAGACAATTTAGGTAATTTAACTTATTATAATAGTACTAGGTACTTATCTACATATACCATAATACTTAAAAAAAAATTAACAATAGACGTCTTGATTATGATTATTAAATTATGTTGTCCATTTTGTTAAACATGGTGCAGATACAGGCCCGTAGCCAGACCAAATTTTCAGGAGGGGCAAAGCAAATTTTTGGGGGGGCATTATATATAAATGTATTAAATATTAATGCAATTTTTAATTTATTTACATTGATATCTAATTAAATTAACACAATGAATTACAAAATAAATTAACAATGAAACAAATTTTGTTTTAAAGTTACAAAACGAATAATACTAAATAATAAAAATAAAACTTATATTAGAGTTTATATTAAAGTTTACATAGATAATTATAATATTCATCATATTCACTAATGTTACAGGGTTAAATTTTGAACATTTTAATATTAATTAATACAGCTTCAATTTTCTATTCTTCTGCTTGTTGAAGTTCGTTAATAATAGGTCCATGTTTAAGTTTTCTGTCCGTTTGGACTCAAACGCCAATAAAGTTAAGTTGGAAAGCCGGTTATGTGACATTGATTGCCTTTGAGGATCGTCAACTCTGTTTAAGCAGGAAAATGTCGATTCACAAACTGCCGAGCTACATCCAAATACTTCAACCGCTGCTATCATTTCATATGTAGCTTTAAATGCTTTACGTTGTTGATAAAGCTCTAATAAGATGTTTTTATTGATATATTATTTTCTTTTAAATAATTTTTCACACAAATTATTTCTTCTTTTGAAGGAATATTAATTTTAAGATCATTAAATATTTTAAAATCATCGTAATTCAATTCGTATATGTTAGAAACAGCTTTAATAAGTTCATCATTTTTTTCAAAGCGAGTTTCCATCTCAGATATAATTATATCAATAACTTCATAAAATGTAGATAATAATGAAATATTAATATCGTCGTTGACATAATTTGTATAAGTACCAGATGATTCACTTAAAATATATTCATTCAATTTTATCGTAGTCTTTCTCTTGCGTTTTGGAGATTCAGTTTCGGTTTCAGGTAATAAATGTTCACAGTCTTTTAAAATTGCATTGAACACTTCTTCATTTCTTGATTGTTTTAAACTATTAATCACGCTATGAATAATTGGAATTGCTAGGGTTAAACCAGTTTCTCTTGATTGCAAAATTTTATCGGCTGGTTTGATGTATCTTAAACATTTTAACATAAGACACAAGCGAATCTAAATGTTTTCTTTTTCATTGTTAATGAGAGTCCTGCACATTGAGCTACTCATTGCCATCAAATGAATTTCCATGCACTTTTTTTAGACAATTTATCATATTATCATAATTATTATATATAATTTCACATATTTTTAAATGGCTAGACCAACGTTGTTCTAACAATCTAACTGTATTATTGCCTTCGTATAATGAGTTTATTTTAAATGTGTTAAATACTTTATGGATGAGCCTACACTGATTAAAAAAGTGACCAATTTCGGTCACTTCCGACACTGCTTTGACAATAACCAAATGCAATTGATGATTATAACAATGTACATAGGGAATAGCTCGATTAAGCTTTTTTTGCATTAAAGCCTGAACACCACCTTTAGAACCACTCATCACGCTAGCGCCATCGTAACATTGGCTGAGCATATAATCAGTATTAATATTTAATGACTTTAAAAGATCAAGTGTCATTTGCACAAAATAAGCTGCATTTAAATTTGTTGCATTTTTAATTGATAATAAAGATTCAATTGGTTTTCCATTTTTTACGTATCGTATGGCTATGGGAATATTTTCCCGATTATTATTGTCTTTAGTACCATCATCCATTATAGTATACCATGGGACATCTGCATTTTTTTAAATCTTCTATAACACTATTTTGCACAGCGTTATGCATAATATTGATAGTTTCATTTTGAATGACAGGGGATAAATAAGTAGCATTTTGAGGAATTAATTTAGCGCATTCTGCAAGTTTAGTGTCTTTTTTAAGAGTGTACCGAAAAAGTGATTGAAATAAACCTTTATATTCCTGCATTTCTAAATCAAAATCCCCACGAAATGGTAATTCATTCACGACTAAAAATATGATTATTTCAAAAATTGATTTTACATAATATCTATGTTTTTCGAGAACGTTTTCATTCAACAATGTTGAAATTTCTGTAGTCGTTTCAACACGTTTTTGTTTATCTACCAATTTTGTTATACAAATACGGTGCGACGAAGAAGATTGATGTTTATAAAACCCCTTATTATTTTCTAAAGCTTTTTTCCAGTTGGAATATCCTGTCACAGAAAATGCAATTTCTTTAGTCTCATTATTACCAACAATTCTGCATGGATAACAAAATGCAACATTTTTTTCTGGACAATATTCAAGCCAATCAAATAATTTGAACCATTGACTTCTAAAAGATCTACCACCTACATTAGGATACGACGGAAGAATTATTTGATTTTTTTTATGTGTTTGAAAAATCGGTTGATTATTTGTTTATTAATTATTGAAGTGTTCTCTGATGTTTTATTAATATATGAAGTGCTTTCGGACGTTTTATTATTTTCGGTAATATTTTCAGACGAGTTTTTGGTTGTTTTGATTACCCATGAATCCATATTACGTATTCATTTTTGAAAAAATCCAAGACTAAAAATAATATTTGTTTTGTTTAATTACCTATTACATTATATTAATTATATATATTTTAATTTTATTATATTTATAAATAAAAAATTTTGCTCATTCAATTTGCCTCAAATTTAATCATAATATAACATTTTATTAACTTACCTTAAAACAGTTATATAATTTCTTGGCACACGTGTACTGCTGCAGTCGGCGATAAAATGAAAGAATATTTAGGTGTTCTATAATAAAATGTCAATTGATAGGAAAGTATTGAGCTACGATTACGATAACGTTAGCAATCAATTTGCCAACAGTCGTCGTGACACGTCAGTATCGTCGTCATGGCCCGGAATTTCCGAAATAAATACTACTATACGGCTAAAAAAACTTTTTTGATCTATTCTATTACCGATGAAAATGTTATAAGCAATAAAATACGTAACTACCTAAACATCTTTCTAATATTTTTAGGGGAGGCAATGACTGGGTATAGGGGGGGCAACGCCCCCCCCCCCCCCCCCCCCCCGTGGCTACGGGCCTGTGCAGATATGTTTGGTCGCGCAACTGGTGGCCGATCAATTGAAAAGAACGCGCGTTTTTCATAAGAAACCGTATAAATGTTTCGGTGGCGTCACTTTATGTGATCGCGCGTCTAGTTATTTTGGTCGCGACCTTCGCGACTGGTGGCGCCACCAATTTGGCCGCGCCACCACGTGTGAATACCATAATCTAGTTCTGTGTTTCTTTTGGCCGCGCCACCATAGTGGCGTCGTGTTAAAGGGGTCTAATGCTGTGGCGGTCCGCAGCTTGCGTATTTATAACTTTACAGGTATCGCAAACAAGTTCAAGAATATTCGCGATTATCAATATATACCTATGTACAAACATGATTTTCCCAACAACGATAAGCCGTGAATATTCCAGACCATTCTCGTATCTCAACAAAATACAATAAAAATTATAAATATCAAATATTGAAACACATAATTTTTTTATTTAGATGTTTACATTCTGGGGGGGGGGGGCTAAGCTCTCTTCCCCCCGATATCCGCCTAAGAAAATATGTAAGGTTATTTTACCGTATGGTCCACGGACGGACCTGTCAAAAACACAGTAATTCTATTTATCGACATGACATTATTCTGAATTCTTGAATTATTTTTAGGTATTACACTTTAAGTTTTAGGTTTATACAATATCAATTATCGGTAAATAATAACACTTTACCCTATAATACTAAATATAACTAATAGTAGTAGAATTTGGAATTTATACATCTTAATATTTTATTGTTTATTTTTTGTTGACTATGATATATTCCTTTATACTTATTAAAAAGTTGTAATTACACTAATTTTTGATATTTTATTTACTTTTTGATCTATTCTAATCACACATGTCACCACCCCATTTACTTGCAATATTTCCTATCACATCGAGCAACAGAGTGTTAGGAGCATAGCTATAGGTACTAGTATCAATAGACTGAATAGACTAATAGTGTATCTGCATAGTAAGTATAGATTATTATAGCCTTAATCACAAATAAATATACACCTTAGATATATTTTGAATCGCGGCCGTGATATAGAGTAAGTATTAGAATATAACACGGAGTACGAACTGACATAATATTTTGATTTTGATGTTAAACTCAAACTGATAATAAATATTACGTGAATTTTATCACTTAACTACGAATTTATCACGATGAAATTTATTAACTTACGATCTTGTACGGTAATTTGATAAAATGTGTATGTACGGTAATTTGATAAAATATATACGGATGAAGGCCTTTTGGCTCTTGGCAATACTAGCACCGTCTACTATTCTTATTGTGAACAGAGTTTATTACATATGTATATCTTTCAGATTATGAGTGTTGGCGTGTAGCGAAGAATGCATTAGTTACAACATCATTTGTTTTTTTTAAAATACACCTATTGCTAAAGAAATTTAGGTTGAGAAAAGAGTGTTTTTTTTTCCTTACCTAGATCGCCAAATTCCTAAATACGTCTCTGCATATATGATATAAAGTAGGGGTGGTGGAATTTTCGGTATATCGGTAATTACCAGTATTCGGTATTTTCGACATTTGTAAAATTCAGTATACCTTACATTCGGTAATTACCGAAAATACAGGCTATCGGTGTTTGAGCCATGTGTATAGTTTATAGTATGTTATCTGTTTATGTTAATTTAGTGTGATGCATAGCCAGTGGTGTATTTGTGGTGGGGGGTAGATGGGGGCAATCGCTCTCCCCGAGAATTTTTAGACTAAAACAATTTTTATATAAGTAATGGGTATTTTATCAAAAAACAAAAATTATGATTTATCTTATAGTATTACTACATTTGAAAACGTTTTAAATTTTACACTAATTTAAATAACGCAAAACGTTAAATTTTTCATAACGTTTTAATTGTCAATAACGGTAAACGGAAAATTTTTTAAATGTTTAAATTTGTATAACGTTTAAACGTTTAGATTGAATAACGTTTAAATTATTTATAGTGTTAAACGCTCAATTGCTTATAACGTTTATATGTCCCATAACGATAAATAATATATATTATTTTGATTGAAGACCCAGTCCATACTTAGTGAAAAATTAGATAAAACACAAACGAAACTTTCAAAACACAGATAGGTGTTAAAAAAGAACTACACAAAAGACCATTCTAAGTGGATCCGGCATAAGATTAAAAAAAAAAAAAATCACAAATATTAAGAATTCACCTGATATAAATATTACCGAAAATTTTATTTGTAAATTTTGAGCCTGAATTAAAGAAAATATTTGAGCCCCCCCCCTAGAAGTAAGTCTGCACAGCTGCAGTTGTTTGGCTTGGAGGTATACCCCATGCGTGACTTAACAGTTTTGTATTCGCACCGTTATCGTAATATGTAAATTATTATTTTTAAGTGTTTTCAAAAGTATAGGTCTCTCTCTGTTCGTGTTCGTCAATGTGTACACATCAAATAAGTGTTTTCGTTATCGTTCTCGTTTACAGCCATCTTGTTTAAAACCACGTTTCTTCTTGTTTTTGTATTTTGTCTGCCGTCTGGTAAGTGGCGTTCAGTTACTTATAGTTACTAGTATTTTTAAGTTTACATTGTTTTAGATTGGTCACTTTCCAGCGGTTTTTGTGAATAGCGTGGTTTTTCATCGTCGTTTCATATTGTGCTGTGACGGGATTTGTGAGCTCTTCATCAACAACTGTCGGCATACGATTGTGTGTGGGCGGGGTCAATTTTTACCATTTATTATATTAGTTGTATTAATTACTGTCCCCGGCACACCTCGTGTGTCACCGTTGTACGTGAGTATTGGTCGACCATTTTTTTGTTAAATGTTTTATTTTTAGTAAAGGTCGACGGACTCAAAGATTCCTTGATTTTATATTGATTATGTGCCGTGTGGGCCAAACATTATTATAATTATATATTTATTTATTTTATTTATTGTGTACCAGGGTGGGCCACATATTGTTATTATTATTTCATTTATTAGCTGTGCCATTGTAGGGCCAGTTCATTATTTATTATAAATTGTCATTTTATTTAGTGTGTGCCGTATTGGGCCACACATTTCGTTTGATTTACTAATTCACATATTGATTTATTTAATTTATTTAGTGTGAGCCGTGTGGGCCACACCTTTTAATTTAATTATATTATTTATTTACATTTATTTATTTATAGTTGTTGTGCCTACCCGGCAATCTAATATATTTTTTATTATTATTAGTCAATCCACTACAAATTCATATTTATGTATTTTTATTATTTTTCTACTACTCATTGTTTTTATAATTAAGGCGAACAAGACAGCCCTCTATTATTGTAAGGCATTTGTCACGTCTACAATCGGTATTTTTAACAAACCTAATAAAAATAATTATTTTAGTACTGCTGTTGAATGGCTTTATTTTATTTTTGTAGTAATAGCTTATCGGTATCTATTGGTTAATTATTTTTCGTTGGTCAAATATCAGTGTGCTAGTGTACTGAAATAAGGATTGTAATTTAAATGTGTATCTATTTTCTATTCACTATTGATATATTTTAACTATTTGTTACATTTTAAATTTATATTGTGCATTTGTGCTGGTGTATAGGATAAGTACTTTTAGTTTTATGATTAATAATTTGTATATAATATGTATTTAATCATATTTATATAAGAAAAATTTAAGTTCATAATGATTATAACAGTATTTTATATTTAATTTGATTCCTAGATTTATTGATTATTTAACATTTTTTTTTTAACATTTGTAATGTATATCATATTTAAATATACATTAAAATTAATATTGATACCTTCTCCTTACAAACAAAGCTTATGTTTGGAGTAGGGAGTCTAGTTATATTTTACATAATTCTGTGCTACGGTAATTACTTCAAATACCAGTTATAAGGTACCTAATATCGAAAATACAGGTACAAAAAAAATACCGAATACCGGTATCAACATTTCAAATACCGCCAGTCTTAATATAAAATGTCTTAAAAAAAAATGTCATTAGACACTCGGTACTTACTTTGACTATTTGTATCATCCAAATGATTACTTTTAGGTACGTTCACTTTTGTTTCCAATGAATAATCTGAAATACGAGTAATATCTAAAGAGGATGCTTCTTCTTCATATAATACAAAATCTTCCTGGACACATTGAATATAATCAATTAATGAAGTAATTAATAAAAAATTAATAAAGAGAAACTATAGCTGATGCATTAACTGTAGATGATTGTAAGTCCTTGATAACCTTAGTAATGCTTTGTAAAATTGAATTCCATATTACATTCAAAGCATCATTATACAGGTGTAATATGATATAATTGAATAAATAATTATCTAATGCCATTGACTACGGTCCGTGCTTAATATATCGATCTCAAAGATAATATTTATTATAAAAATATTATGAGTGATGGCGATTTTTATCATTTTTATTTTTGTAAATTTTATAAATATATAAAAAAAATAAAATTGGTCTTCAAAAAATTACAAACAAACGAAAACTGTAAGGCCGTACCAAATTGGAGGCCAGGTGACTAGTTATCGAGGTACTTGCCAAAATCAAGTACTGGCATAATAGGTTTTAGTGCCAATATTATTGATCATCAAAAATATGCAACAAATATTTGAGTTATTTGTTTAACATTTTACTAAAATAGTTAGTAACAGTAGCGGTACTAAGAGGTTATAATTGAATTACGCGATTGATGAAAAAATGGAGGTGGGTGGTCCTTGAAAAAAGAAAGCCAAAAACACAATTATTGTGTTAAAATACTCATACATAGGTTGGTCTAGAGAGGGAACTAGTAGCAAGTGGCCACCCCTGTTAGAAAAAAATAATATTAAAAATAAAATTTATTTAGCAGGTATCCGCAGGATATAAAAGCATTAATAATAA